GGGCGGGGGGGGGCATCTTCTCATGTTAGCCCTAAATATATAGTAATGTCAAAATATCAAAATTTAGCCTCCTGCGACTGCATGCTTTTCTCCTAAATTCTCCATCAGCTTTAAAAAAAAAAAAATACCCGTAATGATTACCGTATTTTCCGCACTATAAGGTGCTTCGGATTATAAGGCGCGCCTTCAATGAATGGCCTATTTTAAAACTGTTTTCATATGTAGGGCGCACCGCGTTATAAGGTGCATAAAATAGAAGCAACAATAGTGGCTGCGATTATATTATGCATCCACTAGATGGAGCTATGTTAAAGGGAATACAATACAAGACAGCTTTATTTATATCGAGCCTTCAAAGTGCTTTACAGAACATTTAAAACATTACGTCCAAGAAATCAGAATATTGGTCCATCGGATTATAAGGAGCATTGTCGGCTTTTGAGAAAATTGTATACTTTTAGGTGTGCCTTATAGTGTGGAAAATATGGTATTACTATTATTATTATTGTTATTATTATTATTTTATTATTATTATTTTGTGGGTTTGTTTAAACCACAATAAAATGTCAATATGAAGCATTACTGTTTCAAATTCTAATCATGGTAACTACTGTAGTTTGTGTTTTGGGGAGTTGTGGCTGGCTTTTGGCTTCTCCAATCCGATATTTTTCCACCTACAAATATGGCTAGCCTACAGATGGAAACTTCATCTAATATAACTGAGAATGCATGGAAAGAGTCAAAGATCACTCTCATCGTAGTCATTGAATATTGTCATAATACTGGTAACCGTAATAATTCACCAATGGTATTCACTACAGTACAGTAATTATAAAATGTGCATTCTTTTTCACCTCTAAATGCTATTGATTTTCCAAAAAAACAAAACAAAACAAAAACACCTGCAGTCATAGCTACCTCACAAATATAGATATTTTTAGGGGGAGGGGAGTCCCATTATAAAGACAATATATCAATGCTTTCAAGGTTGATTTACAGTCAAAAAGCTCATTGCATTTTTTGATGATGATTATTTTCCTCTCGCACAGATTACAGTGTCAGTCGAAGGACTCCCTAGTTTAGGAGAAGGAGAGGCCTACTCTTGCTTCTTTCATGACACCGAAACTCCTGCCTTGTTCACAAACACCGGTGTTGTCTGCCCCACCCCTGATGCCAGTAGTCTACCCCCCATTGGGCATGGAAACGGTAAGCCTCAGGGTTACTCCGCAGGTATACAGCTATATGTTATAACACAACCCCTTGAAATTGTCGGTTTAGAATAGTATTCGAAAGAAACTTGAGGGTGTATCGATGAATTTGAAGTTGCTCATAAAACGGAATACACTAAAACAAAAATATCCGTTTCAAAAGATGTTTTCTCAATGCCCTTTTCAAAAGTGCAAAATGCTGAGAAAAATTAGCTTTTTTTTCCTCGCGATAACTTTCCAACTTATCTGCACGCGCAAATATAGCAGTTCTTAAAAAAATACACTTTGTTTAGTTGGTATAGGAATATACAGTAATCATTGTAATCAAGTGGTTTGGTCGTCCTCCAGAGTTCGTGATGGTGATCCTTTCCCTACGTTTCCTCAACGTAACGGTAGCGGAGTCGGAATTTACCTTGTACGACTGTAGCCTTGTGCAGAAGCTCTCTGAACGGAGGCCGTGAGTATACGCGCGTATGTGCGCACACGTACACACACACACACACACACACACACACACACACACACACACACACACACACACACACACACACACACATATTCTGCATGTGTCATCAGAACATAATTAGATCCGATAAATCATGTGCTTTCTTGCCTGAGTGAGACTTTTTTATTCAGCAGCGAGCACAATGACGTATAGACAACGCTTTCAGTGGTACATTTGCTTTTGGGTGTTTGTGTTATCTGTACCATTTTGCTTTTGGTCTTTTTATTAGTGATGCAGACCAATGTTTTGTAATGTACATTTTCTTGTAATTTCAACCATTAACTGTGATAAAATATATTTTGTCGTCAATGTATTGAGGAGGGGGCGGCACGGTGATCGACGGGTTAGCACATCACAGTGCAAAGGTGCAGGGTTCGATTCCATCTCTTGCCTTCCTGTGTGGAGTTTGCATGTTCTCCCCGGGCTTGTGTGGTTTTTCTCCGGGTATTCCGGTTTCTTCCCACATTCCAAAAACACGCATGGCAGGTTAATTGAACACTCGAAATTGTCCCCAGGTGTGACTGTGAGTCTGTTGGTCTCTGTGTGCCCTGCAATTGGCTGGCACAATGATGGCTGGGATGGGCCCCAGCATGCCCGCGACCCTTGTGAGGATAAGCGGATTAGAAAACGAATGAATGGATGGATGGGATGTATTGAGGATATTTTTTAGCTAATCATGAATGATTTTTTTTTTGTATTTTAGTTTTTTGTTTTCTTTTTTTTTTTTTTTACCAGATGCCAAGGTTGTGTTAGCAGTCGCTGGGGGTGTAACTGGTGTATCCATGAGCATGTCTGCACACACAGACACACCTGCAGCCGAGGCGTCACCATCTACAATCAAAATGTGAGTCAACATTTATGGCAAGGCTCTGTCAAAGTCTCACCGACATGCATCATGCCACACACGTATGTTTGTGTGCCTCGCCCTATTTGCTGCGCTTGTGTACATTTTCCATTTCCACTTTTGTTTTGTTATTATTTTGGATTCTTCAGTCTTTTTGTTTATCCTAATTTTGTGCTCCCTTGCCTTTTTTTTTTCTTGCCCTTTCCTGCTTGTTCGTTTGCGCTTCTCCATCCACAAGTACAAACCGCCGACATCCACCATTCCACCACCCACCAGAAAAAAGACTACTTTAACTGTGACGACCGCTACGACGACAACAACAACAGTGACAGCGACGCAGCTGCCACCCACCGCGACACCTGCTACGACCACTCCAGCTGCCACCACAGCGACACCCCCTTCCACTCTTAACAGCGAGTCCACATCGCGTCGTGCCACGGACCCCACACCCCACTTCATTGGGACCTTCAGCCAGACCACCAGTCTGCACTCAGAAGCCGGCATCACAGACAGCTTTATCGTTGACATGCTCACAACGTCTGATGGAAATGTGGCCACAGCGAGACATTTTTCTGAGGACGAGCGTATTGATTGGGTGGTAGAAACTGGAGAGAATGCCGGCAACGATTCTCACACAACATTACCGAGCAGTACAGTTATGCCGATAGACTCTGAAGTGGGCCTTGTTGAACCCTCCAGTGAGCCTGCAGGCTCTTCCTCTGGTATAAGCTCAACCACATCCGGTGAAGTTGCTACTTTGTCAGACCTTGCTGGCAGTGACTTGACTGAGGAAATTGCAGTAGTGAGCTCGGATAAGAGTGACACTTCTCCATGGGCGTGGGGGAGGCCTGAAGCTGGCGTAGATGGGGACACAGTCCCGTTTTTTTGGACAGGTGCAAATGACAACTTCGCCTTTACACAATCCCCTGACATGGTGTTTCAGCACAACTCTGATGAAAATTACCAGGCAGATTCCTCTCTTTCTTACTTAATGGTGAGTTCAGAAGCTGTAGCTCAGGGGTGTCCAACTCCCAAGCCCCTACGACACTGAACAGCGAATGTTGCGCTCTTGTCAGGGTTCGTTCAATAGGCGCACATAGTAGCCAAACGTTCACCTGTGCTTTTCTTGTTGCAAGGAAACCCTGAACATGTTCAAAACTTCCTTCTGAGAAGGAAAAAAAAACAGACACTAAAACTCTTGTCTGGTGAACGTTTTGACAACATTTGCGACCTTGAACGAAGTCTGATTAACTCTGACGTGAACATGCATTTCGCTACCTCCGCTGACAGTCGCAATTGTTCACCTCTTAGTTTAAATCAGGTGTGTTGGAAGAAGGAAATGTCGTAAAAAATGACCGGAGTTGGACAGCCCTGCTGTAGCTGATATGGGCATACAAGTAGAACTTATATATATACTATACCTGGTAAACCACTCATTTTTGAACAACAATTTGTCCTATTAGAAAATAAAATAAACACAAATAACTTAGTCGACGTACACCTATCGGTGTTGCTTATGCATATTATTTCTGTATTTATGAGGGTTGATGTCCACAGAAACCTGGGTGTTTATCAATGCAAATACTTTTATTCGACACTACTCACAAAATGTTGGGGATATTTCTACTTTCAGTGAAATGCACTGTAATAACCTTTGCGGGTGAACGTAATGTGGCCTCGAAACTTTTGAATTCACGTGTCCAACTGTTCAATTGTTCCAGTGCGTTTTACGCAACTTACAGTCCTCCAATGACTTAGCTTTTTTTTGTGTGTCTTTTTCAAGGAAGTCCACTTCTTTGGCTTTCTGTGAATCCTCCGGTCTCTCCGACACTGTGCCACTCTTAAATTAATTGGCCACTTCAGTGAGAACATCCTTTTAGAGCCTTGATCAATTTTGTGGCACAGATAGAGATGAGCAAGTTATGAAAAAAGTACTGAAATATCATTCAAAAGTTTACAAAAGATCAAATTAAGGTCACCTTGAAAGTTTATAGGACATTTTACACTGATCCTGAAATGTCACCTCAAAGGCAAGTAACTCAATCTTTTTATGAGTAGTGCATTTTAGCTTTACGTCCACATGCAAACTGCATTTCAGGTCACTGGAAACTGACTGACAGTTTCCAGTCAAAACTCCCATTTCAGTGTCATCATCTCATTGACTTAAAATGCCTCATGATAAGAAGTATTAAAACAACCTGTTTGTGTATTAAATGTATTTATTTTTTTATGAGCAAAACTTGTTTAGTTGTTTTGATTTTGTTTTTTAAATACTATTTGTTATGTAATTTTCTTGGCTAGAAGTTGGGGATTTTCTTTCAGTCAATTCAAACCAATGCATGTGTTTCATTTTTCCAGGACTGTCCTTGCGTGGAGAAAATTCAAGATTCCTCCTTCCTTCCTGTCAATGTAGAAAGGAAGATTACAGTGGTGGGACAACACCTCAACCTGTTTCAGGTATGGTACAACCTGACGGCTATTTGATTGTTTTGCAAAAGCCGGTTCTTTTTAGGGGCGACCCGGTGGGCCAGTGGTTCGCGCGTCAACACTCACAGTGCAGAGGTACTGGGTTCAATTCCAGCTCCGGCCTCCCTGTGTGGAGTTTGCATGTTCTCCCCGGGCCTGTGTGGGTTTTCTCCGGGTATTCCGATTTCCTCCCACAATCCAAAAACATTGCATAGCAAGCTGATTGAACGCTCTAAAATTGTCCCGAGGTGTGAGTGTGAGCGTGGATGGTTATTTGTCTCTGTGTGCCCTGCAATTGGCTGGCAACCGGTTCAGGGTGTCCCCCACCGACTGCCCAAAGATGGCTGGGATAGGCTCCAGCACCCCCTGCGACCCTTGTGAGGGATGATAAGCAGATCAGAAAGTGGATGGTTCTTTTTAGTATATTTTATAAGTATAGCTGTTTTTCATTTATATGTCCCTCTCCAAATTTTGAGAAAAGTGTTTCTTAAAAAGCTTTGTTTACGTTAAGGATGAAAATCTGGACTACGAGTGCGTGCTGGACATTGAGAATCGGTCAGTGGTGGTCGAAGCATCTGTGGAACCGGATGCCAAACAGCCTTCCATCTTTTTGATAACCTGCAAACCACATCAGGTCAGATTTTTTTCCCCCCCCAAAGGCAATCATGTTGATAAGTTGTTTGAATCACTTTTTGTTTGCTATGTACAGAACATACTTGAAACCTACATTTCTCATGGATATGTTTATGAATTGGCTCTTCTCTTTTTTTTGGCTTATCAAGCTCCATTTGCAAAGCTTAAAGTAGCTTAAAGTAGAATTTGCTAATTGTTAGGATTCTGATGTTTGAATATTCTCAGTCGAGCAAAAAAGAGGATTCATTCAAACATCAATAAGACGACAGACATTTTGTTTTCAAAAACCAATAAACTGCACTTAGCAATGTACCACATAAAATGTAGCTATTCACGATCTTAACCAGACAGATAACACCTAACAACGAGCAATGTTTTTGGACTGCTTCTTTTTCAGTTTGCGTATTCCGCTTTGATGGAGGAATACCCGGCCATGTTCAACGTGAGAAGGAAAGATAACTTTGTCATTGACAGCGCCGATGACCTTTTCGGTGGGGGCTAATTCTTGATGTGCCACAGCACGTTGGCAACCCTCCACGCAGAATGTCCTGTATATTAACATAACAATGACCTATTTTTCCTCGCTGACCTCCCTTTCTCTCCCCTGCCTCAGTGACTCTTTACAACTGCTCCGTGGGGAGATCCGACTGCAGTCGATGTCGTACCGCCGACCCCAAGTACGGCTGCGTTTGGTGCGGGAGCCCCGCTGGCTCCCACTGCGTTTACCATGAGTCCTGCGCCGACGATGTCAAAAACACCTGTCCTGCGCCTGTCATTCATTTCGTAAGGGTTGGAGTTTATCCTCTTTGGACGTTTTGAGTCAGTTGAAAGAAAAATGAATACAACCGTCAACAATAATAATCATGCATATAAACACGTGTTCGGTTGCAGAAGGTGTTGCTGCTGAATTGCTTCCATCCCAAAGTTGCATACTGTATGACAATATTTTACTAGTAAACCCTTTATGTACCCATGAAGTAGCTCTAAGTTTGCTGCTGTGGAATGGGTGTCCCCAAGTGCCCGCATTATTTTACCGCCCGTTACCCATGTATCATTTTTTATTGTTCAGACTGTTTTTTCTTGTGTACCATTCAATTATCTTCTGATATGTCATGTTTGACAAAACTTTTTTTTTTTTTTTAAACTTTTGTCATGTCGATAAACACCAACATGGAAATGAAATATCGGAAAAGTGGCGAGTCAAAGTGTGAGTTAATACTTTTTGGGGGGTGGTTATATTTGATTACCAACCCACTGAGAGACGATCAACATGAAGACACAAAAACAGGAAACAGTCATCCATCAACTTGAGCGTTCACACAGGATCATCAAGCCAAGTTCTTTCCTGCAGATACCGACCTCGATACCTTTGAGCTATGATTATATTATGCTATAAACAGGAGGCCGGTGGGTCTGTGTGTGCTTGAAATGTGATCTTGTGTCAATCAGAAAGCTTTTGTCTGGTGTTTCAGTTGGATCCCATCTCCGGCCCTGTCGAGGGAGGAACCTTGGTGACGATTTCAGGCTCCAATCTTGGACAGAGGGCCGAAGACATCCTCAACTCTGTTACGCTTGCTGAGGTTCCCTGCAGTGTCATCAATAGCCGATATGAAATCTCCTCAAGGTCAATAATGGAAGTCAAATCATGAATTGGCATAGGCGCGTTTGCTGACTACACCCGTGTCATTTAGGATCGTGTGTGAGACTACAAGCAGCCGGGGAGAGAAGAGTGGACAGGCCTCCGTCAAAGTAAGCGGGGGAGGACTCGGAGTGTCTGTTCAGACCTTCAGCTTTCAGGTAAATACCGTTTTTGTGAAAAGAAGCTTGAAATTTATGTATTTTTTTTAACAGTGTGTTTGTGTTACCACTTCAATATATTTGTTTTGGTAGTATGTTTTTAAACAAGGTGTCACTTAGAATTATGCCACATGAGCAAGCTGCTTTTCAATCAAGCAGCTCATCTCCTTGGATGCCAGCCTCTAATTAATTAGCACAAAGTGATAAGCACATGAATGGCTTCGAGCTGTGAAACAACCCTCCGGTGTTTCCCAGAGCCCTCTTTTATCTTGACAGTAAATCACCCTCATGGCTGGATGTTAGTGTATTATGGAAACGTATGTTTTTATTCTCTCCAGGTATTCTTCTCATGCTCTATTTCTATTTCTCAATGCTAGGATCCCATACTGAGCGGTCTCTCCCCCCAGAGAGGGCCTAAAGCAGGAGGCTCGTCTGTCACCATCAAAGGTCGTCGCCTCAAGACGGGCCACCCAAGTGACGTCAGCGTTCTCATTGGAGGAATACCATGTATGGTGTAAGTGTCGGCCCGTCATCATCGATGTACTACCTTTTTTTCCCTATTTTTGAGATATTGTGTACGTTTTTTTGTTTGAGAGAGTGGTTGTTGAAATGTCTTTGTTCAGGATAAGCATCGAGGAGGATCAGATCTGCTGTCTGACCAGAGCCAGTAACAGAACTGGCGAACATAGCATCACGGTGCGCTTTGGAGGGGCTGAACGCCACCTACTGGGCATTGTTTATCACTACATGTCCAACCCCAACATTTCGTGGGCTGCGCCATCCAAAAGCTTTCTCAGGTGCTTTTCACTTCATCAAAAAAAGACATTTAGAATTGTTTAGAATGTTGTTGTTGTTGTTGTTTTTTTAAATGCAAATGGTGCACGTCGCATTTTATTAAGTCAATTATGTACAGTACTAAATTGTTTGAATATTTTACACTGAATTTATTGCCATGGTCAAATGTCTTGCTGTAACAATTTGAAAAAATATTTTTCATTTTTGCATTATTCACTGGAAAAATGTATTCAATATTAAGTAATAATCATATTAAGTATTGGTCCTATTATTACTATCTTTGTATCATTATTATTATTCTTTTCGTTAAACCTTGCATCATACCCAAGGATAATGATACGATTTTATCAACTTTGATTTCGGTCAAGTTTGACATTGAAGATTTTTCAAATTTCTATGCAGTGACGTCAGCCATTATAAATACATTTTTAATACATTTGCATCAAAAGAACCAGTTTGGGAAATTGGCTGGAATACATGCAACCGATGTCAAACCGTGCCTAATTTGGGCAAAATGTCACTTGGATGACAACCTACATAAATTCATCTGTCATGCATTTGTTTTTTTTCCTGGCAGCGGAGGCAGGATCATCAGTGTGTCGGGTCAAAACCTGGATGTGGTTCAAGACCCCAAAATTCGGGTCACCCTCAGCCCGCCAGATTTTCTTCCTCCCAGGAGGAGGCGGAGCATCAGTCGGCTGAGAGGACGAGATGAGCAGATGCCACTCAAGCGACGGCGGAGGATCATCCCGGAGGCTGACTGCTCTCAGGGCGTACTTTGCCATGTCAAGCAGGTTTGCAAAATGGCAAAAATCCACTTTTTCTTTTCAACAAATAAATATTTATTATTTCTTCCTTCTGTCCAACCCCAACTCCAGTATGAGTCTCGTTGTATAGTGAACAGCTCCTCCCTCATCTTGTGCCCGACGCCGGCTGTGGGACCGGACGCCAGGAGAGCGAGGGTCAAAGTTCATTTCCTGCTGGATAGTCTTCATTTTGACTTCAACAATGTGGGCAATGAAGCATTCAGCTATGAACCCAACCCAAAGCTCTACATGCTGAACCGCAATGACCCTGACAAACCGTACCACCACAAACCTGGCAGCATAATCTCTGTTGAGGTGTGTGCTGATGGACATGATTTACAAACTGTTAATTCATCTGGCCGCCAGCTGACGGAGTGGTTAGCACATTTGCCTCACAGTTTTGAGGTTTCGAGGTTGATGGTTCTCCTTGTCTTTACGTGGGTCGTCTCCATGTACTGTGATTTTTATCCTGCATTCCCAAAAGCGTGCATGGCCGTTCACTCAAGACTCTAAATTGTCCACATGTGAACCTGAGTTTTTTTTTTTTTTTTTCTTGTCTATATGTGCCCCGCAAATGACTGGCAACAAGTTCAGGGTGTAACCTGCCTCTCGACCAAAGTCACATTCATGATTGTCATTCATTTTTTTATTTTTTAATTATGTCCTATTCAAATGAGCTATGCTCTTCATGGTGGAAACTTTTATTTGTCTGAAATTCAGTCATACAAGTGTAAAAATAAGTTAACCCATTTATAAGCAAAGTTATAATGCCCGACTAAAGTATATGCACAAGCGCGGCAGGCTTCCCCTTTTGAAACATGGTCACACACATGTAAAAATAAGGTTTCATTTTTTTCAAGTTTATTTTACGGATTACAGTAAGACAAAACTGAGGGTTTTTTTGTGACTTTCCAGGCATATTTTTAACAATCATTTTTCCCTCAGGGAGAGAATCTGGACCTGGCCATCTACAAACATGAGGTCCAGGCCCGGATCGGGGATGGCGTATGCTCAGTGAAGACCCTGACTCACAACCATTTGTACTGTGAACCACCAGCCAAGCAGCCATCAGTAGGCACCAGCCAGAAAAAGGAGGTTATGGATAGTCTGCCTGAGTTCACAGTGAGTAAATAGATAACAACATATACCTATATTACTATATTACATATATTATTGTTAGCATCATTATTAGGAAAACCTGATATTCTAGAGAAAAAAACAAGGGCTGATTCTGAATCAGTGCAAGTGTTTGTTTATTTATTTTGACTTTGGGAATTTGCCATACTTTGTTGTTGAGCATTCGACACGCTGGACAAGTGGCCCTGTGTGAGTGGGTCATAAGACTTAGCATTCTTTCTTTCCTTGTGTCTTCCAGGTGAAAATGGGCAACATGAACTTCTCCTTGGGTAGGGTTCAGTATGACAGCAATGGCCTGTCCATATTCCCCCTGGAGGCCCAAGTGGGAGTAGGGGTGGGAGCCTCAATAGTCGTCCTCATTGTGCTCATAATTGTCCTCATTTATAGGTAAAAAAAATAATAATAATAAATTAAAAAGTGGAATATTGTTTACAGCTTCTGTCATGAGATGTCCATGCTCTTCTTTGTGTCATGATTATATTTGTTGATTGCCAGGAAGAAGAGCAAACAAGCCATGAGGGACTACAAAAAAGTCCAGATCCAATTGGAGAATCTGGAGACCAGTGTGCGAGACCGCTGCAAGAAGGAGTTCACAGGTATGTTTTTTTTTTTACAGTCTGGTGATGTTTCATAAGTCCCAAAATTTTGTTTCACTCCCATCAGACTTGATGACTGAGATGATGGACATGTCCAGTGATTTGGTGGGATCGGGTATTCCTTTCCTGGAATACAAGGCGTATGCAGAGCGCATTTTCTTCCCGGGCCACCAGGAGTCACCGCTGAGACAAGATTTGGATGTCCCGGAAAGTCGCAGGCAGACTGTGGAGCAAGGGCTCATTCAGCTGTCTAATCTGCTCAACAGTAAACTGTTTCTCACCAAGGTTAGACATCAACAGCCCGGTGTTTGTCTTTTTTGTTTGTTGTATATACACAACAACCCTCCCCCCCACCCCCCTTGTTTTTTTTTTTTTTTTTTTACTGCAAAGATACAAAATTAGGCGCTCTCTCTACAGTGAAATGACAAAACCACTTAACTGTCCATAAAATCCAAAATATGTATAACACCGTATTTTCCGCACTATAAGGCGCTTTGGAGTATAAGGTGCACCTTGAATGAATGGCCTATTTTATAACTGTTTTCATTTTGGGCACATAGCATATTCAGGCGCATAGAATAGAATCTCCAGTAGTGGCTGAGGTTGCATTATGCATCCACTAGATGGAGTTACGCTAAATGAATACAATAGAACACAGGTTTATTTATATAGCGCTTTCACAACTGCTGCAGCTGTAACAAAGCGCTTTACAGAACATTTAAAATACTATGTCCAAGAAATCTGAATATTGATCCATATATAAGGCGCATCGGATTATAGAGCACACTGTCGGCTTTTGAGAAAATTGAATGCTTTTAGCCGCACCTTATAGTGCGGAAAATACGGTCGTTATATCCATACATACATACATACACCTCCTATATTGTGGATTTTTCACGTCTCTGTCTTGTTCTTGCAGTTCATTCACACACTAGAGGCCCAGCAGACATTTTCCCCGAGGGACCGGGCCTATGTGGCCTCTCTGCTGACTGTGGCCCTCCATGGTAAATTGGAGTATTTCACAGACATCCTGAAGACTCTACTTAATGACCTGGTGGAACAGTATGTGGCCAAAAACCCAAAGCTGATGCTGAGGAGGTCTGTAGGGCAACAAAATTGTCCTTTTTGTTTCTTAATAAGGTGTTGGATCATAATTATTCTTCTGTTTATTTTTGTACACATGTACTTTTTTTTCATTTTCCACTAGAACTGAATCTGTGGTTGAGAAGCTCTTGACAAACTGGATGTCCATTTGTCTGTTCAACTTCCTGCGGGTACGTAGCATGTTATCTGAGTTAGATGCTTCAAAAAAAATTGTTATCTTATAATTTTGAGTACATGGAATACAGCCTGAGATTATTGTCTGTCATACGTACTGGATGGTAAGTCATGGCACCCTCTAAGTTGGAAATACTTTACATTCTGTACAATCACTGAATGAGTCTTGAATTAATTCTGTTGTGATCTGACATTGTTGTCCTCCCATAATAATTCCCGGGCAGGAATCAGCAGGGGAGTCATTCTACATGCTGTTCCGGGCAATAAAGCACCAGGTGGACAAGGGACCCGTGGATGCTGTGACAGGAAAAGCCAAGTACACTTTGAATGATAACCGGCTGCTGCGAGAGGATGTCGAGTACCGTAGCTTGGTCAGAGCACACGCTTAAAGTATAATTATTATGCAGTGTTAAATTCCAATCCGATTAAGAATTGTTGCACTATGCTTCCATTGAGGCTCAATCCACAGATCATGACAATGGGTCTGTTTTGATATTTGGCACATCTGATGGTGTTGTTGCAGTTTATTTGTCATGGTCACAATTTGAAATATCTTACTTTCACCTGATGCACAAGGTAGGGATTTTTTTTTCTCTCTCACTCACTCGCTCAAAATTCTATTTTGTCAATACAGACATTAAATGTTGTCATGCCAGCTGCTGCTGCCAGTGGAGGAGCGTCTACTCAGACGATGCCCGCCAAGGTCCTGGACTGTGACACCATCACCCAAGTCAAGGAGAAACTTTTGGATCAAACTTGGAAGGGGACATCCGTTGCCCTGAGGCCACATGCTGACTCCTTACACCTTGGTAAGTCTTGTGTGCATCGTTAGCTTAATAGCATGGTTGCCCTAAATCCAATTTAAATGTTTTCAGAAAACAAAGGAAAAAAAATCTCTTTTTCTTTTTTTTAGCACTGGTATTATTGTTTTAGTGGTATTTTCTCGGGAAATGACGCCATAGGAAAGCATTATATATATACAGTATACTGTATATATGATGTTGCTGTTAGTGTTGTCGTCATATGTATCACAACTTTTTACCAAACTGCAGCTAAAATTGGTGAGTGCAACATATAAGAGAAAAAAGGAAAATTAAACTCAAATGGGTGGAAGAAAATAATTATTTTTAAGCTATGAGGAATTTGTAGGGTTTTTTTTTTATTTATTTTATTTATTTTTTTATTCTGAGCACTGAGGACTGGCCGAGCCTGTAGCACAAAATCATTCTATGGAACATTTCCTTTAAACTTTTCCATTTGACATGATTTGACAATGCTGATTTATTTAAATGAACTTTTTTTCCCCTGATAAATTGAACTACAGTGTTAGATGTCAAGATACCGTAGGGGTCCTTCACTGAATGTACTGGTACCTCAACCTTTTCCAAAGCCTCCAAAGGAAGTCCTCTTTATTTACCCTTACCTGTTTAAAAAAAAAAAAAAAAAAAAAAAAAAAATCATACATAAATGAACAAAGATGCATGTACGCTTTTTCAAATTTACAAAAGACAACCCAAGGGTAGTGCCTCAGTGACAAATGCAATTTGTTTTCATTTACACCAGTTCTTGTTGAACAGACTAATAGAACGTGATTACTATTTTCCATCTAGAATGGCGCTCGGGCGTGGCAGGTCACTTAATCCTGTCAGATGAGGACCTGACATCAATTGTGCAGGGCTTGTGGAAGCGCCTCAATACATTGCAACACTACAAGGTCAGTCTCAATCACACATACATAGTGTACATGTACATCAGCCTAACAGGCGCCCACTGAATACACCTGGGTAAAATTGCTGGAAATAGATTCATAAATAAACACGATGATGCTGTTTTTAGCTTCTTGTCTATGCTATGTGCTGAAAATTGTGTGGTTTTCTCCCTGCGGTGGTGCAGGTCCCTGATGGAGCCACTGTCGCCCTCATCCCGAGAAGCACGAAAAATCACCTCCATGACAGCCATGATTACATGCCTGGAGAAAGTGAGTCTGTTTTCACACATAAACAGTTGTATACAAATACACACCCAGAATGCAGCTAAAAAAATAATAATAACGAATCACCACAGGAGGTCGCTGTTTGACTGTATAAATCATTTATGTTGGACCCACTGTAGTTCTACATTGTAACGGAATTAAATGGGCAATAGCAGATAACTATCCACCTATACTGCCTTGAGACTTTTGACACGTGGGTGTACTGTTAAACATAAGCTTAGAAAAAAAAAGTTGTTTTCGTTTTGTTTTTTGTTTTTTTGGTAAATCAATGTAGTTGCTATATCTGTTATACATGCAAATTAAACGCTATTTGCTGAGATGTATTTTATCTTGGTGAATTGTACCATAACATTGTAAGTGTTTAATATACTCTAACAATAACAATTTCCACTACCACCCTGTTTTTTTTCCCTCGCCGCCCATCAGAGACACCAATGCTGGATGATGGCGAGGAAGGAGGCATTAAGCTGTGGCATCTGGTGAAAGCCACCGAGGAGTCAGAGTTGCCCAAACACAGAAGGGGCAGCGTGAGGGAGAAGGGCGGCGAGCGAGCCAAGGCCATCCCCGAAATTTACCTCACTCGACTTCTCTCCATGAAGGTAATGGAGTAAACATTCACAAATGAATGAGCATCTCGGTGTTCACTCTTAAAAAGTTGATCAACTCTCTGTGAAAATGTGATGCAATGCAATGGTTTTTAATCCATTTCTAGGCATTTTCCTGGTAAATGTTATTGCCATGCATTTTTGTTGGCTTAAGTCGTGGTTTGGTGAAAATTCATATGTCAAACAATAAACTCAACTCAGTTTTAAGTACACACATGACACTTTTGTGCGTTTGCAGACTGAAAAATGTGCATTACCCCACCACGCCCCCACACACCCTTCCATTTGTCTTGCGCGACTCTTTGTCAGGGCACACTGCAGAAGTTTGTGGATGATTTATTCACGGCCATCCTCAGCACCAGTCGTCCCGTCCCTCTGGCTGTCAAATACTTTTTTGACTTGTTGGATGAGCAGGCCCTGCAGCACAACATCAGCGACCCGGAGACGATCCATATTTGGAAAACAAACAGGTAACAGCCATCGTGGAAAAAAAAATAATAGTAATAATAAAAAAGTAATTGGAAGTTTTGCAATGCATTGTTGCAATAATATCATAACCAATGACAAATAAGTGTAGAAGTTTGTTAAAACAAACAGGTAACAGCCATCGTGGAAAAAAAAAATAATCATAATAATAATAATAAAGTAATTTGAAGTTTTGCAATGCACTGTTGCAATAATATCATAACCATTGACAAATAAGTGTAGAAGTGTGTCGTAATGTTGAATAAATACATCGAGCCAAAAAGACCTCTCTCTTTTCCTACTGTGTACAGTTTACAGAACTGCTTTATGGTTAGTTTTCCTTTTGATAGAGCCGATGCGTGTGATTGTCTCTCCAATCAGCTTACCGCTGCGATTTTGGATCAACATCCTGAAGAATCCGCAATTCATCTTCAACGTGCAGACCTCAGACCACGTGGACGCGGTGCTCTTTGTCATCGCTCAGACTTTTATGGACTCTTGCACAATTGCTGACCACAAACTGGGACGGGTGAGTCGAGCATAGTCAGGCAATATAAAAGTGCTGTCGAGAGCGTTCTAAAACCACTACGCCGGTGTGTCGCTTCAAGTATTGCATTTTCGCCGGCCACATTATTAGGTACACTTGCGCGGTCTGATGAGAGCCCGTACAAGAGATGCAGCAATTTTTGGTTCTTTGTATTTGCCAGCAATTGATAGAGCAGGTACTGTACACTGAGAACCAAAAATCTGTGAGTGCGCTGCTCTAAAATTACGTTACTTGACAATAAAACTTCTAATGTTGAGAAGTCATTCGATGTTCATTATTGGACATAAGAATAAAGTATTCTGATTCTTGCTCATCGTATAAATTTAAAGGTCTGAAACTCAGCCCAGTGAGGAGCCTTTTGTGAGCTACCTGAATGCTTAATCCGGACACAATTTCAATTTGTCTTCCTTTCACAGGACTCCCCCATCAACAAGTTGCTCTACGCCAGAGACATCCCGCGCTACAAACAGATGGTGGAGAGGTAGGAACTGTTGGGCGGGCAGTCAGCCCACTGACCTGGGGCACTCTGCAATGGAGGAGAGGGAGGCCTGGGACAATCTGTCAGGGCCAGACAGTTGGTAGACAAGGCCTGCGAGGCTTCCGTGCTTGGATGCTCTCAAAGCAGACACGCCACACTCACTGCTGTCTGCTGCACATTTACACTGGTGATGTGTTGAAGCTTCATTAGACAACCGTTTTTTTTTTTTTTTCTTTTATGCAACAAACCTGTCTTCTTTATTTGCCTTGTTAAGTTGTTGATGTAGCATACAAACCTTTGAAGCACCCCAAACCCGCTTTACACTATACGGTACTTGTATATAGGCCATTTCCTTTGATTTAAGCGGTTTACCCTTTTGGTTTTAAGATATTAAATATGAAAATAAACTGCTCAAAAAAAATAAATAGAGAGGACACTTGGAGTTACATTGTGCTGTTTAAGTGTTCCCTTTATTTTTTGAGCAGTATAGAATAAGCAGCAAAGGTTTACAATGCTTTTTAATTGTTTTTTTTTTTTTTTTTTTTTAAGTATGCTTACATTCAAGCCTCTAAATTCCATGAGAACGGTTAAACATGGCACGAAGGGCACCTGCAGTTTTGTCACATGATGCTCTTAAAGCCTTTTAATTGGTGCCTGCAAGCCACAAGGCATACAGTTAGGAAATATACCTGTGTACCGTCATACACAGCTTGTCGTTTTTTGCGAGCCTCTCTCTTTTTTTTTCCACCTCGATTCTCACGCATGCACGGAGGAAATCTGCAAGTGGCTTATTGGGGCACAGGATCATTCAACTTGGTATCATGGTGTAGTTAAGGTGTCCACAACCCTTATTGAGAGCAAGTACTTTATAGAAACAAATACATAATATAGAAAAACCTCCTCACAGTATTTAGTATTTATATGTTCAAAAAAAGAGGGTACATTTTAAACTCTACAGTTTCTGCTTTCTCCAGGTACTATGCCGACATCCGTCAAACCATCTCAGCCAGTGACCAGGAGATGAACTCAGCCCTGGCAGAGCTCTCCCGTGTATGTTACCTTCCATGTCTTCCCATGTTGGAAAATGTTGTCCTTGCTTAGAACCTCTAAATCATTCATCGCGGTTTCCTTTTGAGATGGATGTTAAGTTTAAAATCAATTATGAATGGAAACCAATGCGGCTCCTTTACCACCCCCGATGGTTCATCTCTGTTTTCACCCGTCTAAACGCAGAACTATGCCGGAGAAGTCAATTTCCTGGTGGCTTTGCATGAGCTGTACAAGTACATCAACAAGTACTATGATCAAGTGAGTGTCACAAAATCGTCCAGTGTGGCAGTTGCATGTAGACGTCGTGCAGATGGTCAAATTCTCGGAAGCATGACTGTACTTCTGAAAAATATTTGTGGTTTAATATTTGCTGTACATTTTAAGTACATTTCCATAGGAACGTAAAAATAAGTTGATTCCTTTTCTTTTTGTTCCTTATTTAAATACATAATTGTCACTATAGCAGCCGGCTTGTTGGAAGAAGTTTTCTTTTGCGCTAACAATAGCTTTGCAGTGCTTACAATGCACTGCACGGGATGGCGCATGAGACCATCAAATTCATACAGAGTATCAGAACAGAATTTGAATAGCATTCGGTCAATACACCAACAGTAATCTAACAGCTCTTTATTTGCCCACAGAATATTAAAAATGACATTTCAGCAAGATATTGTCAAATATCAAAGCGGCTCCCCGCAAGTTTTGTCTTTATGTGTTCTGTAATCTAGTAAATAATGCAACTCTCGTGACAATATTGTCTATTTATTTTCATTTGACCATTTCTGTCCAATCCAACAAGATCGTCACAGCCCTGGAGGAGGACTGCACAGCCCAGAAGATGCAGCTTGGATACAGGCTGCAGCAGATTGCTGCCGCCGTCGAGAACAAAGTCACAGATCTATGACCCAACACCCAGATTGGTTTTCCTTTTAAACCACGAAGACTTTGAAGGGAAATTATATGACAAAAAAAGGGGCATTGTGGAGCATTTGAGAAAGGGAAACGATGTTTGCTTTCCTCGGTGGATCTCGACGGAAAACCACACAGAACATTCCTAAAAATGTACAAAGTACATGCATTAGTCCACATGAGACACAGTCGATGAAGAAAAGGGCGAAAAGCTACTTGACTTGAAACGGCTCTCCCAATTGTTAGAAATGTCTTACAAAAAAAAAATTGTCAACCTTGGATGGAAAGCGGCCTTGACAAATTTGCTTCGAGTTACCTTCAGTTGCTCTTTCAAGTCATCCTCAATTCAACGGGGACCCACTTACCAGCGGCCCTTATTGGAAATACTGTACTCTAATGTCACAATTTCCACGGGGAGTGTGACTCACGGAAGCGCTAAATAACGCAACTAAATCATTTTCAAAGGTTTTATCAAAACCCTATAAAGTAACTTTTCACTCAAAAATGGATCCGTCCAAAAATGGAAGATGATAGACATTCCTTGGCCCTCCCCTTCCCGGAAATCGGTACAAACAAGATACAACACTTCCTTAAAAAAAAAAAATCACAAAAGAATGCCCGTTATTGAGGCTTATGAACAAGATCACTTTCTATTTGCCGTCTTCTTTTTTTTTTTTTTTTTTTTTTAACTAACTCAAGGAGTTCGAGCAAATGTCATTGACAGTTGTCTTAAAAGAACAATTTGAATCGCCGCTTTTGCTAACAAAAGGCGCTCAAGCAAATGTCATTGACGGTTGTCTTAAAAGAACAATTTGAATAGGTGCTTTTAATTGTGCGGTTCATTTATTTGCGACGAGGCCGACGGGCATGACAGAGAAAGCTTTTGTTGTTGCTGTTAGCATCCCGACATTAGCATTTAGCACCTCTGTGCCAAAGCGCAGCCTCACTGTGCCATGACTGAAGCTTTTGTTCATTATTATTTTTGGTGATTTGTCGTTGTAATCATCAAGTCTTTTGCAACAGTGTTTTTCTCCAAACTTAAGCGTATTAAGAAAAATGCGCGGAAAACCTGTCTCCCCCGACCCCGCTATTTGGTTTATTTTAACGTCTGTTGGGTTCATGAAGGTACCTTTGATCCTCTGTGAATTATTTTGCCTTGAAACGTTTTATTTATTGTTTATTTATTTTATCGCTTACGGCGGTAAATGTTTCGGATTTTGCTGCAGGAGATACCCTTCCAAGTTCACTGTATTTTTATTTTCAAAGCAAAAAAAATTGCCATCTTTATTTGAAACATTTGGGTTGTTTTAAGATGTGAGCTCTTGCTGTGACTTAAAAAAAAAAAAAAAAACACTTTTTTTTAAATGTGGTACTGACTATTTTTGCAAGCCCTCACCCTGTACATACACGTTAGTGTTGCTTGTAGCTTGCGTGTGGATGTGGTCGCTCTTAATTGTATTTTTTTTTTCTTCTGTAGATGCACAGTCTTCCCAAGTAATCCTGACCTAACAATGGCTGAACATGTCACAATAAAGTGTTCCTGGTTCTAACAATGGTTTGACTTCTTATAACCCATTGCGATACATCAGATTAATATTAGAGTTGTCTTGCCGGTTTTATTTGAGACTTGTTTACATTCTTATTCATAACACGAGTTGATATCTTAACCCGAGACAATTAATGACGTTCTTCGACAGCGCCGTCGCTACGGAGGGGCACGTGATGGATCCTGGTAAGCCGTTTCATTCCAAACTTTGAGCAAAACCCTTTATCTTCTAAGTCAGTGTCATTGAAATGGTTTGCTGCAAATTACACTTCCCTCACTCTGTCGATCCCATTTTGTTTTAGTTTGCTTGATTCTGTCATCAAGTTTCACAGGAAATTGAGACCAGGTAAATAATCATTTCTGCTGCTGATAGCATCAAACTCACGCAATTTCCTGGATACAAGCGAATGAAATAAGTTTCATCAGTTTCAGGGTGTCGGCCATGCACAGGGAGTCTAGCTGCAGCTTCTCCATGTTGAGGGAAGCCAGCTGAGGTGGATCGGGCATCTGATTAGGATGCCTCCTGAACTCCTCACTGGTGAGGTGTTCCGGGCACGTTCCACCAGCTGGAGGCCCCTGGGATGACACGCTATGTCTTCCAGCTGGCCTTGAAACGCCTGGGGATCCTTCCGGAAAAAAGTGGAAGAAGTGGCTGGGGAGAGGGAAGTCTTGATGCTTTTGAGGTAACTTTTTTTTTTTTTTTTTTACAAATCTCATTCTGGGATTTTTTCCAATACTCACATTTCCATGGAATAAAGCAAATAGTAATTCCAGTGGAATTTCATAAAATTCAGAACTATGTCGAAGAATGCTATTATTATTTTAGGCAGCAAGTTCCAGATCTGATCGCTTTTTTTGATCAACATGTAACAGGTTGTAGATCTCTCTGAATCCAAATTTGGATGTGCTTTATCTCACTCATTCAATTCTTGTAGGCCCGAACAGCAGCGAGTTGCCAGGCTACAAAGTGCTACCAAATGATTGACATCTGAGTTGTAAATAGTATGACTTCCGTATGTCCGCATTTAGCAACCTGTGCCCCGGGCCAGATTTCCAGAAAGAGATGAAAGTCTGTTAGAACTTAGTTAAAAGTAATTCCTTTACCCTCAGGGACCCGAAAGCAACACGAGCCCAGCCCTAAATATTTGACATGTCATCACAATGTGCAATGCAGACAACACCATGTTAGCGCACATGCCTTTGTTGTCGCTATGTCAATCAGCAGGATGAGAAGAAAAATAAAAGTGTATTGCATGTTGCTTGACAGCCAACTCTTATCCAGACGGCTTTGGATGAGTGAGCTGGAAAGGAGACATTTTTGCCTCACTTTCCATCAGTTCTCGGTGAATAATGCAGGCATCTTCATGAAAAAAAAAAGGCATATCCAGTATCGGGTATATCGAAAGGTGTCGCTCCAAATTAGGATTGTTTGGCCTTGGTAGAGGTATGCTGAGTACAACTGTCGTTGTTGTTGTCTTCACATACTTTGTGTGTGTGTGCGTGTGTATGTGTGTGTCAAGAGAAAATCTGGGTTATCTCTTAGTTCCGAGGTCCTGGGAGGCCTCAAGCAGCTGGAGCTCAAGGATGCTGAGAACCCAAGAGAATACCGTTATGGTATGATGACGTTTCTTAATTTCCCCCATGATGCACATGCACTAATATAATAAATATGAATGATATACTTAACATGTACTCACAACATTGGGATTGAACAAAAGGTATTGTTATTTTAAAATGCTATTTTTCAAGGAACCTGTCAAAATGTCGGTCTTGATTGTCATCTGTTATAAGTGTCCTTAAGCGTGATTGATTCTCAGTGTCCTAAATTCTTTTTGTGGCCATCAGTATTTTATATCGAAAAGGTTTTGGACTGACAAAAAGTGTCTGTTTTAAAATTAATCCTAACTTTCTACAGATATGATCCAACACACTGGTTTTTGTCAATCATCTTCATTCATGGTGTAAAAATAGGAGAATACACAAATGACTGTTGGATTTACATGCTCACAGGTTAAATTTTATCGGGATGATATTTTAAATTAAATAATCCCTGATACAGATATGCAGCCGCTTTGTTTTGTCAATTCAACGTCGACGGTTACGCTTATGGCAACTTTTGACTTTCCCAGAAGCCCACACTCCACTCCGACATACGTAAGCAACATCCTAAAAGGCTTTGCATGTGCACAGCTCAAAATCAGGGGCAACGTAACGCGGAATAAGAATTCCAAGGGCCCATGAGCGACAAAGGCCCGAGAAAATATCTTCCACTGCCAAAAGATGCCATTTCTGACCTGACCTGGACAATCTTGCTTTGTATCTCAGATGTGGTGGGAGGGAAATAAATCATCAACACACTTAAATTCAAGCTTAGTCATTGTCTGACCGCTTTATTCGTCTTGTAATTGTTTCATATTTATCAATTATTCAAAAAAATACCCACGCCTTTCATCCTATCCAGCTGTATGCTGGGCATGCCAAAAGAGGATTTCTTTCATAGACGACCTTGTAACCACACTCAGTCCTGAGCCGCTGACACTCCCTGGGCCAGGAAGTGGGTTTCATGGGCCTGCGGAAAGAGGTGAGACACGGCCGTGATCACACAGGAGAAAGGAAACCCTATGAGAACCAGTCACCATGACAGCACAGACCCCGAATGAGACTTTATTATATAACTTGAAGTGAATGATGTCGGCTACTCACGCAAAGCAGTAGGAGCCAAAGTTGTGGCAATAACACTTATCACAGCCTCTCCTGAATGAATCGCCGGGCTTGTAGTACTTGTTTTTATAAGAACACATACCTGAAAACCAAAGTACCAACACAAATGTGGAATGTAGTTTGATTTCATGTGTCCAAAAAAAAAAAAAAAAACACTTTATAATCTTTTCTTAGAAGTTTAAGATCCTGCAGCTTGTAACTCGAGCATTTTGTTCTGACCATCTGGAGCCACCATCAAAAGGTTGATCAACAGGAGATTCTGAATTTGCTTGACTGTTTTTTTTCCTCTCACCCAAATTGTACATTGTTGTCTTGCAAGATTACATTTTCAGTCTGACAAAAGACTGCCTTTCTCTCCAATTACAGCTGAAGTCACTTCAAACCAAACCAAATTACTCATTTAAGTACATGTGGACTAGAGTAAAATTAACTTCCCCCCTCCCCCTTCATAACGTTATGACTTTATTTACTTAAGCCTACAACAGTTCTTCGAAAATTATATCCTTATTCATTGAGAGTTTATATATTCACAAAAGATATGTATGTATGTAGGACAATACAATTTTTTACCCTCAAAATTCTAACTATATTCTGTTTTGTTTTGGTTTTTTTATTTACATGACGTTACAATTGTTTTTTTATTTACTAATATTTCTTTGTTCTTGGACAGTAATGATCAGATTATTCAGTTAATCATGGTCAGAGAGACCAGAAAATGTACGATATTGTTGATTGCTTAATGCTACAAGAAAAAGAAAGTAACGATAAAAAACAAAAATCAAAGCTTACCTTTTATGTGGTATATGGAAGCTTCCGTGCAGCCATTGCTCAAAAAAAGGATGAGGGACAAACCGGAAACGAACACAAAAACTAAGGACCATCCAGGAACGTTAATCATTGCCATTTTGATGTAAAAAAAAAAAAAAAATGTTACCAAATAACAAACGTGTCCTTCCCTGTCCAATTTTTCATTATCTACTTGCCTGGGAAAGTAAGTGAGACTTTATTCTGAGGTTCACCCTATTTAATCTAATGCAGCTGTTGAGTCAACTCCAGCATATTCCTTGTGATGGCCAGGTAGACATTGGCTAGCATTTATAGTGTCACATTATTTTTCAGAACGACAGAGAGAGGGAGAGGAAAAAGAGCAAGACAAAAAAAAAAAAATAGACAACAGCCCACATCACCTTACATTTATTTCAGTTCTTCCTCCAAGATCATCTCTGGGAGGTGTGTTTGGACTTGGCTGTGTACTCGTGCATCACTAAATGTTACCTTTGGTAAACTGGAGCTTAGCGAATATTTTGCAAAACTACAAAATATAAATATTTATCCAGGTTTTTTTTGTTTTGTTTTTTGTTATGATCAATGCAAAATATTTGCGAGATATGTTTTCTGCAGTTACTATAAAATCTAAAATTGCTATGCTGTGCTTGGTGGTCATTCTGGTGGACCGAGGGCATCTTCTCTTCCACTTCTCAGGCGCTCCTGACAATTTGGTGACAGAAAGTTGAGCAGACTTTAGGCCGGCTAAAAGTTGTGGCAACGGCGATACAACGTGATTTAGATAGATTTGATCAAACCGCAGATGGATTCTGCTTTCTGCTGATAGCTGTGGTTGATGGCTTCATATTTCATTCAAAAATGCAAACAGGATGCATTAAACTTTTGGAATTCGTTTAGAAGTAAATTAATTGAACGCACTACTGTTATCATCATCTTTATTGTAATTTTTACCCCCCCCCCCCACTCCCCCACAATGCCCCTTGGTTGGTGTGTTAGCTGCGTTCACTTCCACAACAGCGCAACCGCCCCTTTTTACTTGTGCCTGTCAAGGAAAGATAGGACGCTTTGGAGCAAGAGGGTCACAGGTCCCACTGTAAACAAGATGGGGAAAAAAAACCAGAAACTAAACTGTCGAGGTGCCCCAGAGCAAGGCATCGTCCCCATTTCAAGCGCAAGGGCACTGTGTGCTGCCCTTTCATTTTGCATCTGTCCTCGCATGCCTGGATGTGTGCGACCTGGTTCACTTTCACAAATCTATACAGCAAACTGTGAGATGAATTCCCCCTCGAGGGGGAGTATGTTACATGAAAATAAAAGCAAACTGGACACGTAGCAGGAAGGTTGCGGCAGCCAAGCAGCCCCAGCTGGAAAGCTCCGCTCACTCCGCCTCCTTCCAGTGTTTAGTCACCAAGGGTAACATCTTCATTGTTGCCACACAGCGACAAAAACGTTGGCCCATTTCTGTGTGTCGTCAAGATGAAAATGCAGTTCCACGGA